CTGAAAACCCTACCTCCGAGCTTCACCTCAAGATATAGAAATATTACACCTAATATCCTTAAAAAAAACTTGGTTTAATAACTTACACATTTACATAGAGCATATGTCCATATATTGTACAATTCAATCTGCTAAGCATAGATACCACCTTTTACCCAGCCACTCATTCAAACTTGGCCAATGATTATCCATTCAGTACTCTTCATCTAAATGAATATATCTGTGACCAATTCCATATTTTATTTAACTGCCCTGCTCTACAATTTTAATAAACGCTCTAAAAACTCTTAATATTTCTTTTAATATCTACTTCATACTCAACACAAAATCCACAACTGCCATTAAAATTGTAATTTATTTTAAATTGGATACTGGCTATATTATATAATGTAAAATATACTATTATGTATATTTAAATAATTTTTGAGAGCTATAGTTTTATACTAGTAGCTAATAAAAAAAACATTTTCATTAAAAACATTTTATTTTTTGCACATTAATATATATTTTTACATACATATGAAATAATAATTAATGAAGTAAATTACGAAGTACACTACTATATGATAAAAAAATATTGATGACTTCAGTATTATCAACCGGTACATCTTTCTCACAAGATATTATCATCAACGCTTCCAACCGATCTTCGACCATTGTGCTACGCAAACGAGTTTTAATTAACTTCAACTTTGAAAATGCCCTTTCTGGTGATGCACTGGATACAGGAAGTGTTAGAGCAGTTGCGGAACAAATGCACTTTACCAACCCCCTCACGATTTTCAAAAAATTTTTTTTTAACCGTCTTGTTTTTTTATGCTTAAAACGATGGTGTAATTTTTTTTTACCAGAAACTATTATTTTAGAAGTTATAGCCTTCCAAAGTTTACGATTTTACGCTAATGTGTTTGCGCGCAAAGCTATAAGACAGCCACTATAACAAATTTTTATTATTTTTTTTATGTATTTTAACCAGTTGTGGGACATAGTAATTTTCGGGTGAAAAAAATGGAATAATTGCACTTTAGCTCTCACACGATTTTTTTGAAGTTTTTGTTAGAGTATGACAAGCATAGTAGCTCCCTACGCCTACCAGCTCCGGTCGCTAAACTCGAGGTCCTCCTGACCTCTCGTTGGATGAGGATTCGGCCCCCAAACCCCCCGGGGCTCAAATAGCAAACCTGGGAGGGGGGCGACCCCTTCGGGGTCGTGGGGTGGGGAGCATACCTGCCCTGCAGGCAGGCCAATGACCTAACAAGTAAATTTAACCTTGTTAGTAAAAGTAACACGGCTCTGTTAACTGTTGTGTTATGCGATAAACGCGCCCCGCGCATACGTACTATTTTGTAGTATAACCACAAACTTTGGAAGGCTATAACTTCTAAACTAATAGTTTCAGGTAAAAAAAATTACACCATCGTTTTCAGCATAAAAAACAAGTCGGTTAAAAAAAATTTTTTTGAAAATCTTGAGGGGGTTGGTAAAGTGCATTTGTTCCGCAATTGCTAATGGCCTAATGCTGTAGATATTGCAGTGAAAACATCTTTTAAGCCGGTCATTTTACATACATTATAAATTGTATGTATTGGTGTCATATCCGTATCATATGGTTTAGATTCAAGTTCTTCAAAATCTTGTTCATTGTCAGTATCTTCATGAAAAATATGATCTGTGACATTGTGAATTTTGTTTGGAAGTTGTAAGAATTTTTCAAAACTAAAATATGCATTTGCAAATTGAACATATTCCCGTCTTAGAACTATAGCAGACACAAATTTTCCATAAATACTTCCAAATGCCTCAATTGCATCAACAGGTAGACTTGAAGCATTATCCCTTACATCCTTTAAATGTTTTCAGAAAAAGAGAAATATCTTTAAATAATGGTGCTGAACTTTCGTTGAATCGTTCCTGAATTTGAGTAGAAACAATATCCAATATAACATAATATGATTTTATTTTAAAGTTTTGAACTGGATCAGTAAATTCTTCATCTGATGAAACTTCACCAGGCATTTCTTTAATGCGTCTTACTCTAGAACGCATTAAAGGTGTAAACAAAAGATTATCTTTTCTTGATTCAATAAATTTGTCTTTTTCTAAAACAATGAATTCAAATTTACAGTCATTTCTCAGTTCTTTTATATTAAGCAACACATTTTCAATGTAATTAACAGCACCTAATAAATCTATATTTTTACCTTGTAAAAATTTATTTAATGGATTTGTCATATCAAATATTTTCAAGAATATCAGACCTGTTAAAATAAAACGCTCTGTTAACATATAGTTCATTATACTATCTGCTTTAACACTACAAACACGATCAGTAAATTTATCATTTTTTAGTTCAACAATGTATCAACCAGGGCATCAAATGTCTCAAAACTGTTTGAAGTGCTGATGCATGCGAAGACCACCGTGTTGTTTCAACTCTTTTTAATCGACGAAGTTGTTTTTTTGGATAGTATTTTTTTTGATAATCTGTATACAATCCAACTCGTTTTTTGTGACAGCTAACTTTTGACCTTTCAACTACTATTTTACATGCACTTATGTGCCTTTTCCTATTGGTATCATTTAAATTGGATTTTTGTTTTCCGCATAAGCAAACCAAACTCTTATGTAATTCAGACATTTTAATAAAAATAACAATTAAACATTATTCATTWAACACTTCTTGACACTTAGCAATTAGGTAAATTACAATAGATTAAATTATAATAATATGCATCAACTACTATACGTCACACAGGAAACAAAATATGTAGGTAAGAGATGCAGTAGGTTATAATATATGCCAGACACGAGACACGAGTATCGGAGTGTAGTGTGTACGAACGCAACTAAATAAATTTAAAATTACTCATTAAAATTCAACAACGCACAAAACATGTTATCAATGTTTATATTTCCAAAAATTAAGTGCCTAATTCTAAAAATAAATTTACTGTTATCGGCATTTTGGTACAACTTTTAGCATAAAGATAACAATTGGCAGTTGGAACTCGGCCGTTTTCTTGTAATAAACACCATAATCGCATTATAGTATAATGATTATACTATTATAGCAAGACTGATTATATTTTAAAAGTAATTATTTACTTATATTGTTTTTTTCTACGTAATTTTTCCCAATATTTCCAAAATAGTTTAAAAATAGGTAATTTGGATTAACAATCAGCTGTCATCCGAGTGGCCGTGTGGCGTATGTTAATACACTCATAATATATACTATCATAAATTCATAATTCATAATATTATTACGCGGGGTTCGTTACTAGTTTACTACTGTTAAAAGTATACTAATTTATTAGCGAACAATCGAACGCTCAGTATCTCTACTCAGACAAATTTGTCTATTAGGTATYCGTATGGCCAACAGGACCCACCCATTTAAAAGGGGTGGCGGCCGCCACCCCTACTATACTCTGTTTCAAAAGACAATATACCAGATTTACGTAAGAAAACCGGTTTTGTCCGTGGCCGCCTGGTATATTGTTCTCTTTTGAAACAGGGTATATATAGGTTCGGCGCCATTGTGTGATAATAACGAATCAGTAATGGTGTGTATAGAAAAATACAAAATAGCAATAGCTGCTATTAATCACTGCTATTTAAATAAATACTAAATAGCATTTTACCTTTACCAAAATCACTACGGTGAATCGGTGAAAGGACGTGTGTGAAGTTGGGGGACCAAAGCTAGGGGACTATTTTTTCGGACGACTAGTGATGAGAAACCTTGTACGCCTGGTTGCAGTTTATTATTTTCAAGGCGCTCCACGCTTAAATTACATTATAACACAAGATAGCGCCATGTAATTCACCCAGTGAATACTGATTTTAGTATTGTATAATATTATAATGTTTATTTAGATAATGAGTATTTAGATTTATACGATCGATCGGTACAGGCGGGCGCGCGGTTTTAAATTGTTTTGATAATATTCCGGAAGGTGACGAAGCGATTTGATAGTATATTCGGAAAGCCAGGAAAATTGTCTACAAGTTAAATATGAATCTAGAGTGCACACGGGTCTCGGTTGCACAGCAATAAGCGACGGAACGCCCAGGGGACCGTGTTTCATATGATCGATCGGTACAGGCGGGCGCGCGGTTTTAAATTCAACGATCATGGTTTATCACTTATCAATTGTCGTCATAACAAAAGTAAGCACATTGTGATGGTCACACTGAGTTTTGGTGGGTGCATGGTTGCTTCGATAGATGTCGCCGTGGTTCAACAACGGTTCCGATTGCCGGCGGCGGGACACGACTAATCGCCGAGAGTCGGGGGCTGCTTCTGGCCAACGGGAACTTTGACTGTCGAAGTGTCGACTACCATCGATTCTGTGTTGACGTTCAGCCGGCAGTAGCGTCGTGCGTATGGAGTCGTACGAAAAGTGAAAAGAATTTAACAACGAAACGTTTATATACGCCCGTTACTGGTTGTTATTCTCGGGTTTTTGTTTTCCAGTGATTCTAGGGATCACGATGTGCACCAGCAGAACGGTTTTGTGTGGGACATCCGACARCGACCAGACGTCGGATCACTGCCGAGCAACAGTTTGAACCGAAAGACGCGATAACACCGTAAGTCTTATCCATAGAACTACCAATAAGTATGCCTATGGTTTGACGACGTCTTAAGGAGTAATCATTTTATTCATTTATCTAGTTATCATTCCAGTGAAACCTGCTCAGTATTGTCATATTATTATTCTATTCTGTGGTATTGTCGTTAACCCTTGGCATTAAGCATTAACTTATTGCCACCATTTTCTTACATGACTGTAGAATCTGTGTATTTCTAATATTATTCTGTTTCTTAAGAGTCTTCTACCTTACTTATTCGATAGTATGAATCCCATTGACTGACTTGTAGTTAGATACAGAAAATATTACTATAATAGTCTTCATTGCCCTTGGTATGGTTTTTGGTAAAATACAAATATACCTACATTATGTGGTTATTGTGATAGGTTTGTTTTTTTTAGTTAAAATCTATCAACATATTATAGCTCCTCTATTGATTATATAGTTGTATCCCTAGAACAAGTTAGGTATTCTGCATAGACTTAAACCTTGGCTTAAATGTTTTTGTTGATTTTTTTGTACTTTCATTGTAACCTTACTGTTTATAATTGGTATACAGGTTTTTGTTTATATTAATATGAATATATTTTATCTTAGATTGAAGATTCATCTCTTTATTTCAATTGCACTCTTGTATAACATCTATTTGCTTATTGATTTTATAGTAGTATTTTATAGGTAGGTATCCTCAGTGTCAACACTTACTTCAATGATCATCAAATAATATAGATGTTTTATACCAGTAAACTATAAAACTATTAGATATTTCATTCAGTGTCAGTTCAAATTTATCAATAATAAATATTTGAATGTATAACATATGGAATATGTGATGAATTACAAAAGTTTAAAACTGATAAGGTATTTGAATATTATTTTGATGTATTCCTTGACTTTTACAAGTACAATTAAGTTTTAATTGGCTCTGTAATTATATTAAAATACTAAAAAGATGCCTTTATTAAAGAAGTTATTATAATGTAGGTAGATAGAAGCTTAGAACTTTATTCAATGTACATTATCAATTGTGCGTGTAATCTTTTTGGTACATTGATATTCAGTAGGTGTTTAATAGTTTGTTAATTTATTATTAAGTAGGTATATATTATGTTATATGTATTAGTAGTAAATGCATATTGTAGTATTTATGTTAAAGTACAATGTTGGTAAACATGTGGTTCATCATTATTCCTTATTGTTTATGTTAGTAGTCTTGTAGATACCTCAGAAAGTTATGAGAAATCAATTCTTTAAGGTTAGTGTTCATAGGCGCAAATCGCAGGGGTGCTAAGGGTGCTTAGCACCCTAAATGTTAATGCTAGCACCCCGAATCCCGTGATTATAACTTATAGTAACATTACCATCATATTTCCATGATAATTACTTTTATTAAAAATTCAAAAACAGTTTCATATTTATTTGATTATATATAATATAATATGTCGAGTTTACATCTGTATATATTAAACTGCAATGACATATTAAACATATTACATAATATCATAATAATTGTTGTGAAATTATGATATTAACGGGAAATTTGATCTGTTTCCTCAAACATTGTTGGTGCTTAAGCCCCCCTAATGTTTTTGGGTGATTTGCGCCTATGTTAGTGTTTGTTTAAATTGAGTTTAAGTAATACTTCAATATGTTTAGGCATTATTTTTAAAATAAAGCGGTTAAAATTTTTGATAGATCAACTTTTTTTTTATTATTGAAGTAATCTAATTTAGATTACCTAAAATTGTTATTTTAAATACTTAGTGCCTACTTACCTCGTTTGAAGTTGGTAAACAATAAGTAGTGTGATCCTCCTTATTATAGTATATTGTATATTATAATATTGTACACAGTGGTTAAATATTTTTAAAAGTATGATGCATGAAATTATGTCTTACAAGTGTGTAACATAGCAAATTTTACGTTCAGTAGATCATGTTTAGCTCCTTTAGTTTAAAATTTAGAGTAAATTGACCTTTCATAAAAAATAATGGTAATATTATTATTGAGGATTTTCATAGGCTTTTTATTATATTTTAATTTTAAAGCAAGCTATGAGTATTTTAAGATAATATATAAACAATTTATAATTTTAAAAATACTCATAACTCGCTCTAAAATAAAAATATAATAAAAAGCCTCTGTGATAACCTAGATAATAATGACACCTTTAATTTTTATAAGAGTTCATTTAAAAGTTAATATTTATGGCTAATATTCGAAAATTTAATAATAGTTTCCTCAGGTGCTTTTCTATTTTTAACAAAAAAAAAAACTTAAATGGAAAGTAACATTACAATTTAAGTATTCTAAATTCTAGTATTTTCCATACATGATATAATTTCTTAAATATTTTGAGTTTTTTTGAGGCTTGAGAAAATTTTTTTTATAATTATTGTCGATAAAATATTTTTCCCTTCTACAAAAAATTGAATAGGTAGCAGAATAGGATGTTGAATAGTGTAATTATAAAATAATTTTATTTTTATTACTAAGGAGTAAGGACTGAGGATTAAAAACAAGGTTTCTCATAAGTATTAACTCAAAATAGTAATACCCATAAAATCTAAAATTGTATTAATAAAATTTTTCTTTGGTTTGGACAAAATKACATTTAAATGAAGAACAATGATGTTAGTTGTTTAGTGGACTTATCATAATTTAAAAGTATTAATTGTGAGTACCCACTTGAAATTATTAAAGTATGTTATCATATTTTATACACACAGTACAATTTTCAATTCCAATGTTTTCAGAAATAATTAATTTATCATAGGTACTGTATTACTCATAGTAAAATTAATTAATTTAGTAGCAATAATATCTTAAAATTTACTTTAGTAATATAGGTTGACAAACTKTCATCGTTCAGAACTATTTTTTGTATACAATGATTTTATTTCAATGAATCAAAATTAAATGTATCTATTATAGTGATCWGCTCAACATTTACTACACAACAGAATGGTACCCATTTACATCTTTCTGTTTAATATTAATGTATATTTTTTAGATTTATGGTATATCCACTTTCTAGAAAATCATTATTTTTACAATAATGTGTGCTCATATTTATATATGTATAATATTATTATAGGTACAGTATATCGGCAAAATAACTAATGAAGTATTAATGTAATAAGTATTATGTAAGAACATTTTTGCAAAATATTTTTATTTTTGCAATATAAAGTTTTAATATGTATAGAATTTTTATTTGATTAATTATTTAACTATGGATTTTTTTGTTTTATTATAGTTATAATTATTATTCTCAAAAAATTTTTTATTTAGTAATAGATAAAAAAAATATTGAATTTAATACCTAAATCGATGCTTAAATAATTCATTGTAACTAAGAGAAATGTATTTGTTTTGTTGATGAATATATTTTGAATATACTTAAACTTATACTTATACTTAATTTTAAAAATGTCTTAAATCATAAGTGCAACTTACATATTATATATTATAAATATATCTCAGTAAGTACCTATCTGTATTTGTATGATGTAGGTGCTAGTTCCTAGGTACTACTTTCATTCATTCAAAAGTAAAATTGGCATTTACTAAACATTGTTGATAGACCATGTATGATTTTGCTCTTGCACTTGTCTATTTGTAGTTTTTAAAAGTCAAAGTTAGTTASTTATGATCAAATGAAATTAGGTCTTCGTCTTTATGAATTCATAACCAAAATGATTCTTTAAAATGTTGATTTAAACAGCTATTAAAACATTCACCTTTATAGTTTTTAAATGCTTTATTTAAAAACAATGTACAATACTAATGACTATTTTATTTCTGATTTTATAAAGTACCATTATTACAATTAAATTAAAGCAGTTAAGTTGTAAAATGTTGTTGTATTTAATGTTTAATCATAAATGTATACATGTATTTGAAAGCTTAGCTTAGGTAGGTATAAACAATTTTAACATGATAATCTTGAAATGAACTATATGTTGTGCCACTGTATGTATTATTATGTACTTGAAGCTTCTCCTTATTTTTGTAAAAAATATTTTAGTGACTATGGCAATCAAAATTATATCTTCTAATATTTGTAAATACACCTACTAATTATTTTTTACGAGATTTAAATCAAATATWTTTTTAGCTAAAAAAACATTTGTATTGTTTTTAGATATCTATATATTTATTTGAATAATTAATATTATTAGCCTTCAAATAATCAAACTTTATCATAGACAAAATTTTTGATAGATCACTACAAATTACTAGTGGGTACCTACACTACCTACATATTTCACATATTATGCATATCAAATTTCATCAAAATTGATCATGTAGGTGAAGCAATTTACCTATTATGGTGTGTGGTRTTTTTAAGTGGCGAGTAATTCTCACATGAAATAATTTATCAAGTAGATTAAAATATGTTGTGTGTTTATTTTTTACTTCAGAAAACATAACCGAATAAAATAACTCCRCCGCATCTTGTGTTGAAATTCAAAAATAATGTGAGCATATTTTATAATATATTGCCATTCAAATAATTTGTTTATATCAATTAAAATTATTATTTATTCCTACTTATTTTATGCTAGATGAATAAAAAGCAGATTTTTTTACGTTGTTTTCACATGCTCTCAACATTTCGTTTCATCCTTACTTTTTATTTTTTTTTATAGGAGTTAATTGTTTACTTAAATATACTTATTTTGTAATTTGTAATTTGTACAGAATTATCACCTAAATTTTAGTATTTTATGCATACATAATTAAATAGGTTTGTTATGGTTAAAATATATTATGAAATCAAGTTCAGAAGAATTATTTAATATAATACAGTTCATTTTAGCGCCTTGGTAAAATGATTTATTTTGATTAACAATGTAGGTTTTACTTAATGTTTACTGTTAAGTACTATAATAATTTAAGATTTTATGCATACGAGCGTCGAGCATATCACCTATAATTATGTACCTACAGTGGTTGACTTGGGGAGAACTGAGTACCTCAACTAATTTTTT